TACATCAGCAGTGTATAACTAAGATATGCGTATCATATTATTCATTTTTTATCTCAGGACCCCTCAGGAAACTCCTGGTTATAGATATGTATCTATATTATACACTCCTGGTTATAGACATGTATCTATATTATACACTCCTGGTTATAGATATGTATCTATATTATACACTCCTGGTTATAGACATGTATCTATATTATACACTCCCGGTTATAGATATGTATCGTATAAGTTATACACTCACTGGCTTATAAGACTATGTATCTATAATTATACACTCTCGTTATAGATAGTGTAGCTATATTCATACACTCCTGGTGACTAGACATGCTATTCTATATCGTATACACTCCTGCGTTATAGATATGTATCTATATTATACACTCCTGGTTATAGACATGTATCTATATTATACACTACTGGCTGCATCACTGCAGCACTGGCCGACTTGAGCCTTGTAAGCATCTCAGATCACGACTCTCTCTCTCTGTGGGGCTCTCTTGATATCCCCGCGCGCGTGCTTGTTCCGTCTTAATTGAAGTAGAGATGCAATTACGTTGGCTTGAAAGGAAGCGAGTGAAACCCGACTAGGTCAAGATCGCAGATGAAACTCCACTGTCCGCTGATCGCGGTGTATAACTAGTGACGTCAGAGCGACATCTATCTAACGTCGCATCGACTGTAAGGCGGAAACGCCGCCTGAGTTTACAACTCACGCACGATATATATATATATATATATATATATATATGAGCGTCGATGGATCCAGCGCAATATTGCCACACGTGATTCTCGTATTGCAAATAAATAAATAAACAAGTATGGATTTATAATGAATGAATTGCACTGCCAGTCAGTGACCATGCACAAGCTCATATATCCACGTCACTATGTAACATGATGCACTTCTCATTCATCTTATGCTAGCAGGTTATGGCGCCATACTATGATTGTACGTATATATATATATGTGTGTGTGTGTGTGTGTGTGTGTGTGTGTGTGTGTGTGTGTGTCGCTGTGTTGTGTGGCTCGTGCAGCGCGCTGCGGCGCAGTGCGCGTGCGTGGCGTGCGTGCGTGCGTGCGTTGCGGCGTGTGTGTGTGTGTGGTGTGTGTTGTGTCGTCGTATGTGTGTATTGAGCGCCCCTGCTGATATGAAGCGACCATGATTGTAGGCTATGCCATCTTATGTCTGTACGTGCCCCGTGGTGTACTGAGGAGACGTGTTATATCAAGAGTAGATAATTATCTACTCTTCATATATGGTGTGCCCAGCTGAATGAAGGACCGTGCTTGCAGGTTCACACTGCTATCAGAGAATGGCGTCAGCAGCAGACTCAGCAGCGGCTTCGGATCTCTACATCCACGGATGAGCAGAGCTGACTCCGAGACTAGTGACACGCCATTCTCAGGTACGAGGGCCACCTAGCATGTGTTATACCTGTCCTCAGGTGTGTCAATCACCTAGCATGTGTTATAGCACCTACCTGTCATCAGGTGTGTTAATCACCCAGCATGCGCTACAGCCTATATCTGTCTTTAAGTATGTTAACCACCAAGCCAGTGTTACAGCCCCCACCTGTCTTCCAGTGTGTTAATCACCTAGTCTGTGTTATAGACCCTACCTGTCCTTAGATATGTCGACCACCCAGTCTGTGTTATAGACTCTACCTACATTTAGATGTGTTAATAACACGGAAAGACGCGTTAAACAGGAGTGGGTGGAATGTCAGGTGAATGGATAGGAGTTAGGTTGGAATGTCAATGTGAATGGATTAGGCAGTTTGGTGAATGTCAGCCCGGTGAATGGATAGGAGTTGGGTGAATGCAGAGTGATATGGATGGAGGTTTTGTGGGTTGGGTGGAATCTCAGCCGTGAATGGATACGAGTCTTGCGTGTGGAATGTCAGCGTGAATGGATAGCAGCTTGGTGGAATGTCATATTCGTATGGATAGGGAGTTCGGGTGGTAATGTCAGAGTGAATGAATAGGAATGGGTGAATGTCAGGTGAATCAGGATAGGAGTTTTGGGTGGAATTTAAGGGAATGGATGGAGTTGGGTGGAATGTCAGGTGAATGGATAGGAGTTGGGTGGAATGTCAGGTGAATGGATAGGAGTTGGGTGGAATGTCAGGTGAATGGATAGGAGTTGGGTGGAATGGCAGTAGGTGAATGGGGATAGGAGTTTGTGTGAATATGACAAACACATGAACCTATTACCTGGTCATTACTATATTCTGAGATGGTTGGCAACCTCAACCGTGTCCAAACCCCACTGCCACAGCTCGACTAGACCTCTATCTATCTATAGTTATACTGAGCCTACTACTATGTAACATCTACTGCTTGTCACAGGAAGTCTTTCCTAGACCGAGCAGTCTACTGAGGACATGCGCAATAGGGGCATAACCGTCGGGAAAGCCGGTTGTAAAGAAGACCACCAACTCCTACGCCTTCACCCGGAGCAAGACGTCCTACCAGTGCAGGTAAATAGTAATAATCAGGCGCAGCATCTAAGGTGTCAGATGCGAATCAGGCGCCGGGCACATCGCAGCGATGTTACTTAGTACTCGTCACGGCTAGAGAGCAGAAGAGCAGACCTGAGAGATAGATGAGAGAGAGCAGAGAGACGAGAGAGCTGAGAGAGAGGCAGAGACGCAGAAGAGAAGCATAGAGAGAGAGAAGCAGGAGAGATGAGAGAGCGAGGGAGAAAGAGAGAGACGAGACGAGAGAGGAGATGAGAGAGGAGACGCGAGCGAGGAGAGAGAGTACGTACAGACAACACCATTGATCAGTATTACATACACACTTAGTCAACTACTATTTGTTACCGCTAAACATGAGTATATTTCGACGGGCCATTAAAGTATTGATTAACAGTGTTAGTATTGGTTGAACATTTCTGGCGGAATATCGCCCGTGTTGGGTAAACGCGACATTTTCTCTCAATGTAGTCGTGTGCAGTGTGGGCAGACAAGACGTATTCGTATAACCAGGAGCAGACGAACGAGGAGCTATGAGCACGCCGATTAGGGAGACGCCAGCGAGGACGACGATGACGATGAAGGAGTGAGCGACGAACAAGGTGTCTTGCGAATTCTCCTTCTTCATTTCGTCTCTTCCTCCTCTTCCTCTTCTTCTCCTCATCCTCATTCTCCTCCTCTTCTCATCTCCTCCTCTTCTTCTCCTTCTTCCTCCTTTCTTATCCTCATCCTCCCCATCTCCTTCTCTTACCTTCTTTCTCCTCCTGCCCCTCGCCTCTCCTCCTTCTCCTCCTGCCTCCTCACTCCTGCTCTTCCTCATCCTCATCCTCCTACAGCCTATGTACTTCAACAGTGCCCATTCTAACCGTACATCTTTTAGAGTTCCCCCCTGTTCTGTCTGTGCACCGCTCCTTTAAACATAGACAACGCAATTGCCAAGATGGGGAAAATGTGGTGCACACACTGTCTGTCGCGCTGCCCGTGCAACATCTATATATCCTTAACCAATTTTGTTTTTACATAAAAGCCGACCGCAACGTTATTCAACAAAACATAGACTGATAGCCTTTCTTCGCTCTTTTGTCTAAGATTGCTGATAGTGCCTTATCCGAAATGAGGTAAACAGTTTACGATTTCCCAGTGACATCTGGGCCTAAAATAAATAATCAAGGGAGCTGTTGTCTAAATCTAGCCGTGCTCCACCACGCGCTGCACACGCCTGCCATCCGATACATGTTCCTTATAGATTCTCGCTCTCACGTTCTCCTTCCCGTTGTTTTCTCACCCGTGCTTTTGCTTGTTCGCGAGACGAAACTGTTTTCCTGAGATAGCGTTGCCTCGCCGGGACTCTAACCTTGTAACTTACACGAAATTCGTCGCCTGGACAATGTCATGCAAAAAAACAGAAACAGAGCCTTAGAAATGTTCCGCAAAAACGATTTGTCGGAAGTTCGAATTACCCTCGCGTTTATATATATATATAGATATACCTATATATAGCTGTTTTCCTTCGCTTCGGCTGCTCCATTTCATCGTAACTGATTAGCCCAGTAGTAGTAACAGCTAGAAGTAGTCAGCTAGTTAGTAACTCATGCATCATTGGAATATTAATAATACTCGTAGTAGTAGGATACAAGAAATGTCGTAGATACAACATTATTCGCTTATGTTTTGAGCCTGCCACGTAATGCGACATATTTTCGCTTCTTCTGTTTCGCGCTTGACTGAGATAGAAGCAGTTTGCTTCGGTTCGAATAAGCTTACGTGTGTTGCTGTGTAGGTGTAATCCTCCGTGTACCCCATGTTTCTTCTAGGGCGCTTCGGTTAGCCAAATGCCTACACGGCTTTTAGTAAGATCTTCACTACATTTATACATCATAATTACTTACCTACGATCATCACCATCTTTTATTTTGCAATCGCCTCATCTCAATTAACTCACATTTTCACGAGTGCACTATTTTTTCCTGTATTATATTTTAGTCCTCAGCGGTTTCGATATATCGATGTGAGATGACACGCGTGTTGTGGAAGGACGCACGCATGGCCAGCAGACGAACAAACGTTTTTTTTCTGGCTGCTCGATGATTTCTGTTTTACGTTCACCGTTCGAAGCTTCATTGCAATCACATTATCAGTCAACATTCTACATGCTCATTTAGATTCCTAAATCGACTACATCCCGAGTGTAAATCAGAGACATAAAAATAAATCAGAGAGACATAAATAGGATGATTTGTCCGGGACAATCGGCGCTCAGTGGATAATTTTTAATTTTTTAATACATTTTTTACCTTTTTTAACGGGTTTATCTGAAATTCGCTACAGAATATTACACCAAACTTGGTTTATCATTTTTAACAAGTTTATCAGCCGGTACTAATCAAATATATTATATTGGATTTGTAATGATAATGAAGAGCAAGCATTCGTTTTGATAGCGGCTGTATTAGAATTGATTAAATATCATGTCATTGGCTTCGTCGACCGCCCATTGTGTCATCTCAGCGTGCTTTAGAGACTGCGTATACGATGTCACCGTAACGTGGTCGCTTGCGTAATGTAACGTAACGTACCGTAATGTAATGTACCGTGCCGTAATGTAACGTATAACGTACCATAATGTAACGCAACGTGTCGTAATGTAACGTAACGTACCGTAATGTAATGTACCGTGCCGTAATGTAACGTATAACGTACCATAATGTAACGCAACGTGTCGTAATATAACGTAACGTACCGTAATGTAATGTAACGTAGCGTAATGTATTGTAATGCTTGCGTGCGTTACACCTACACAGGTGTTTGCCGAGGATGACCTTGAGGAGGTCGTGTGCCCTGCTGACGTCACCAGTCTCGTGTCTGAAGCCAGCACCATCGCACCGTGCGACGCGTCGGTGAGTGACCTCCTGTGACCTACCGTGACCTCTCGTGACCTCCCGGGACCTAGCTTACTCATCTCCCGCGCAAACAGTAGTGGCTGGTTCCTCCGTTGTCACCAACCAACTCTCCCCTCTTTCTCTCTCGCTATCATTTGTATTCGCGCTTTCTCATTTTATCGTTTTGTTATCGTTTTACCTATCTTATTAGCATACTATCAGCCTCTTCCTATCTACTCTCACAGCGGCTGTCTGGAGATGCAATACTCTCTCTCACTGCATGCGAGCGCGTAACAGCTTAATGAAGTAATAAATTCTCATTTCCTAAGTCGGTACGTTCGCACGTGCCGGCAGGTGGGGATTAAAATATGCCGTTCTCTCATTAATTATACGCGAATATTAAAGACATTATCCTCGTAAAATTCAGGCCGTAGGGATGCAAACAGCTACAACTCAAATTGTAAAGCTTGGAGTGAGATTGCAGCCCCATCTTGCGGCTACTCGCTCACTCATATTAATCACAGCGGGCCACTTTGAATCAACATGCATCTGCGGTTCATTCGAGAACGGATCGCTTACGTGCAAATACGTTCTCTTTAGTAATTATTCACGGAAAATCTACGCTGTCATCTCCTACTTTCGATAGTCGGACCTCGGGGTCGGTTGTGCCAGCGGAGTACAATGCGTTTCTCTAATTTCTCTCTAAAAAATGTGCGCGCTTTCCCAAAATTTATAACCACCTAACATCTGAGTGAGGCGATACGCATCAGTAGAAAAAAATACTCGAGAATGATAGCAATCGACATAGTAATACATGAAAATGTTGTTTGCGTAAACTTCGGCAGGTTATAGGGGTTTATTTTCGCGAAGTAAACGTGTGCGATCAAAGGAACGATAAACTAGTCGTGTGTTCGCTGGGAGAAATGTTTGCAGTCATCAATGTTGGTGCGCGCACACACATACACACACACACGCGCGCGCGCGCACACACACACACACACACGCACACACACACCACACACACACATCACACAAATACGCACGCACGCACGCACACACACACACATCACACACATACGCACACGAACCCCCACCC